AGGGCGGGTTTCCTTTCGCACGCGGGCTCGGGGGTTGCGAGAGTTGGGCGAGGGGTGGTAGCGCACATAACATAATCCTCCACAAGCAAGTGCGAGCGATAACTCAGTGGAGATATTGAGCGGAAGATAAAGTGAAACTGGGTGTTCGTAGCAGAGACGAGGCCGGGTGAGGACTGAGGCGAGGAAGAGGACGGAAAGGAGTCGGCGGGGCGAGGAGGGAGGGAGACGGGGTTGGCAACCCGCGACAGCGAGGAGGAGGACGGTCCTCATTTGAACTTTGTTGAAAGTCGCGTATATGGAGAAAATGCTTTTAAATGTCTTTCCGTTGGATTACACGGCTTCTTTCTCCCATCCTCTTCGGCCTCCCTTCTCCCGAACCGCGTGCGGCGTCTAAAAACATTTGCTTGGGAAGGGCTGCAACGAGAGGCCGAGCCCAGAGGGGTCGAGATTTTGACGAGAGGAGGGAGCGAGAGCGAGAGAAAGAGAGGCTCGGCGCTAGAGTACGGTCGCTCAGGGAAATCGGTTTGATGGACTGAAGCCGGGATTATGAAGAAATACTGCTCATTTTGAATCAAAGAACATAATTGGTTCTCGTAATCCTTTCCGGAAATTAACAAAGTTCGACAAAGACAGTTCCCCGGGTACCTGCGGACCGACACCTGCAGTATTCTCACTGCCTGCGAGTTGAAGTAGGACTTCTATGACAACATCTATATAGTATTTTCTAATTAAATATTTCATTTCAGATACAAAACCAAGAGGGTACAGGTCGAAAATATATTTATTTTTCAATAAATACTTCTTTAGTTCTGCATTTACAGATCGATGAAATAATGCCCGTGGTTTATATCCAACCTTCTTCTCACTCGTCGATGTACCCACCTCTCGATACTCTCTTTGCATTACTGGCAAAGCTATACACATCAATATAACCAAAAATAGAAAAATATGTGGTGTTTATAATCGTAGGATCTAACTGCAAACATGTCTCCATTCTTCGTATACATGGGTTTGGTCTTGTCGAAGTAATACTGCAATGTTACAGAAACATCCATTTGTGACGTTATGGACGCTTGTTGCCCGGACAGAGCGACAGGGGCGCAGCAGGTGTGTGCACATATATATTGGGCCTGTGGATCGCCCTGAGAGGCCGCATTAAGAACACTCATTAGGCCTCGCGTAGGGAGAGTTACGAGCGTCAAGATCGCAAAGGCCTTCCCGGACGATCCCAGGAGAGGGACGTGCATCGGGCAGCCACGAACCCCTTATACATCTCTGGAGCATACCTTTCTAATGTACAATGACATCACCCTTGAAAAATGAAGAAACAACTCTGCACGCACCAGTGTTATTTTGGCGGGGTGACAGGCCGGTTTTTCATCCACGAGCGCCGCGATAGGTATTTTTACACCCGTACACATACAAGGCGGATTCGTCCTTCCAAAGCAAACACACTTTATAACATATCACTCCGCCACCATTAACACAAGCATCTCCCGTGGCCGCAGGCACAAAGCAATCTCGTACCTGGACGGGCGTCATAACTACCTAAATAAATACACTCCGTACGCCGGGGACAAATAGATAAATAATCCACTTTTCCAGGAGTGGGCAGCGTCGGATAATGTATTCGTGTCAGGTGGATCGAGGAAAGAGCGAGAGAGAGAAAGACAGGGATAAAAATAAATGAGGGCGTGAGGACGCGCACGAGAGAGAGAGAGGGACAGACACACAAAACGAGGACAAGGGGGGACGGATGGGCTGGGACGAGGCGGACGCAGTAAAAAAAACGGGAGGACGTCAGAAGAGGGGACACGACGCTGGTGCCATCTGTCGGGAGGATCTGTCAGCGTGGCGGCAGCTGCGGCGGCCATCCTTCCTGGAGACGCGGGCGGGCGCGCCAGCCCGGCCCTCCTGCCCGCCCCGCCCACGCACGCACGCCCCGTCCCTCTTCGTCTTTGTCGCGGGCACATCCTTTATGATATGTAGGCGCACTAAAGCTAAATATATTGCACGGAGTTTGCAATGACTGAGAAGAGCGGAGGCCATAAATTATTTTCTCTTTTTTTTCCTTCCTTGTTTTGGTGACAGATGTATTTTAATAATGACGCTCAATCAGAACTCAATGTATACTCTTGGTTAGTTACAATCTAAAGCAACACTAGATTGCTTGAAGTCTGTAATTACTGAGAAGAGAAACATTAATAATTTATTTTAATTATCATTTTCCTTAGTTTGTCGATAGGAGAATTTTAATTAGAGCGATCGTTCAAAACTCAATAAACACTCTTAGTTGATTACAAATTTAACCAAAAATAGTTTTCCGGATAGCTTATTTATGAACGACTCTCAAGAGCTAAAGTAAAAAATTTCTTACTTCCACGGTTTGTCCACGATTGTAATTAAACAGATATTCGTTCATACTCAACCCTTTGCCAATTAATTTTAGTTAAATATATTGCATACATTGGAAATGACTTATGACGAGACAAAGAAATTCATTGTTTTATTATTTTCAGAGTTTCGCACCCTTTCGGAGCTCAATATTATATACTTTTGGTCAGATGCACATTTAAGCAAAAATACATTGCAACTGTTTTAAAGAGCGAATGTAAATAATGAAGTATGTTTCCTGATTTGTCGTATTTAAAGCATTTTAATAATAGCGTACTTTCTGTGTAAACGCATTTTCAGTTACATTTTACAAGAACAAGTGCGTAAATGTGATATTAGTTGTAACATCTTTAAATTAACTCAGAAACACTCTGTTTGATGAATAACGAGTGCAGATCATTTACTACATTTAAAAAATATCTAGAAATTGAAAACATATGCGTGTTCCAGAGTTCAATTGAGTTGCAATTTTCGACGTTTCCTTCAAAATAAATTAATAAAATCTCACGATAATTCAAAAGTTTGTACGCTGCAATTTTTTAAAAATTGTTTATAGCTATATCGAAGAAAGTGCAACTCCACCACCATTCACTGCCATTTGTACACTATCTTCCACCATTTATATTAGGTAAGTATGAATCATGTCGTTCCGGTTCAATATGTTAAACCTAACCAATTTTGAAATCAAGTCTCACTCTATGGAAACAAGAAAGGAAATTTGTGAAGTGTTCTTTTCATTTAGTATTTTAAGATATTTTTCAAGGCATTTGCTAAAAGTTTGACATACAAACTTATTCATGATTATTTGCACAATTACGATCTCTTTAAAAGTTAATATGATAGTAGGCAAATTTCATCCAAAGCAGAAGACACTGGAATGTGATTTTTGAGTTTCTAAGAACATACAAGGCGAAGAAAATATTTAATTATGTAAACCACAAACTTTTAACCAGAAAGATATTAGCAACGATTTAAAATTGAAATATTTAAGAAGAGATTTTTTCAGACAAGGTTCGTCGTTTTTCAGGAACCTTAACTCATTGTCTCACATCTTTATACCATCAGAGATCAAAAAGGCAAAAGGTATTTATATGGCATTATCCTCCTTTAACAAAGACCTTCTCCCATACACGAATCGCCCACGTTACACGATGGCATTGAACAGAAAATAACCGACGGAGATCACGGAATGAGAATAAAGCACAATATATATTCGAAGATGAGGGTACAAGCAGTTTTGTTATTTTATAGAGCGATGCTAGTCACGTTTTTTGCTTCAAGGAGGAGATTCAATAGTAATTATCTGCATCCGTTCTCGAACAACCCCTAGCCAGATGACGAGCAGGCAGTAAAAATGCAAGGCTCCATCCACATTGGTTGTTCGGGTTCGGGAATGGTTTTACTTGAGCTTGTTGTGTGACTTCCATGTACTGTTTAACCTCATCAGATAATAGGTCCACGGGCGAGAATAATGATGACACACCTGGCGGTGACCGCAGAATAAGCCAAAGAATCTGAACCTGTTCTGTGGATCATTTCGAGAAGCCTTATTATTACATTGTTAATTCGAGAGGGCACGTAGCAATAACTTCAGTTCCATGATGCTTGATTTTATGATGCAAAACAAATCAAAAGAAACTCGTCTTTCCTGTCGTTAGCATATCGTCATAACTCTAATCTGTGGAGGAGAAAATACGAAAGTGAAATATGTGATTGGATGTTGCAAATGTACATTCGTTTAATTAATGTTGCCGTGTGTCAGATGAATACAACGAAATGAGAGCCTATTTGCAAGCACTGCCATTTGATATTAGTAAAATGTGTAGTATTATCAATGAATTTTATTAAAGCTTTAACTTTCCAAAAATATTTGGCAATAAAATTACATATTTTCTAACATATGAATGCAAATACTTTTTACAAAACTCTCCCATTAAATTTGTGTAAATAGTTTGGCACCAAACAGTTAACAGAGTTTAGTTTTGAATACATGCGGATCGTTTGTGTCGTTCCGAAGGAAAAATGAAAAATAAGTGTAAGCTACAAAGAAAGACATATCTACAGGCAAACCTGACCTAATTTAGTACTATTAGGTCTGAATCATCCGCATCACATTTTCGTTAGTGCTTTAACAAATATAAGTACTTTAGTACAAAATGACATTTTAAGAGTTCTTGTGAATGGTGAATCTCACGCAAGAGATTTGAATAATCTTTAAAACACCAATAAAGTAATCAGTAAAAAATATTTCAAAACCAAGGAATTGATAGAGTGATACATACTGAATATACGCTAAATACTTGTACGGTTGCGAGCGAAAAATTACTAAAAAATGTATAATCTCCAGAAAACTATCAGGGAAATACCTCTATTTGAACAATACTAGAATCATCAACATTAACTTCAAAACCCCTTTCGTATCAGCTACAAAACGGTTTTAAGCGTTCGACAACCACAACAGGAGGAACGACCCGTCTCAGAAGTCGGCTCAATCTCGCCTGACGGCCTGGCACCGCAGACGCCCGCAAAAAACGTCAGCGATATCAAATAACAGACAGAAAGCAAACGATTATCCCCGATCCAAAACAGGCGCCGTACGTTGCGTGGGGCAGACTTCATTCAACTCTTACGGGCGTACGCAACAAGAAACACTTCAGTGGCGTCTCCCCACAACGCGACCTCTGTGTCAGGCGCCAGCAGGGTTGCCAGGTGCGCTGCGAGCTGATGCCCCACCACTACTACGGAATTTCTCCAAATAACCTCCTCAAAGAAACAAAATTCCCCACTTAGAAACGGAAAAAATTCAACTCTATACTCCCTCCATTTCCCTGCCCCCCTCTATCTCTCTGTCCGCCTATCGTTTATTTTTCTCTTTTTGATTCATAAAAATGTGAGAGAATAAATTAGAGAGAGTAAAATCTGTGTTTTTTATTCATAATAATTAAGAGAATAATATTTCTACCTTGAGTCCGCATGAAAATAACTTTCCCCAAAGTACTCAACCTGTACATTTATGTACCCCATTTTTCCCCCACAACGAAAAAACAAATCCCCATTTTGGGGACAAAATTCCCCAATTTGGCAACCCTGGTGTCATGTGCCAGAACGCAATCATTTTAATACGTGTAATTTCGTTCATGGAGGAACGTTCCCAGAATCGGCCGCTGCCTTCGATAAGGTTAACAATCGTCTTCTGGAGCTCAATTTCGACACGGCCGTCGCGGCGCGCCGCAGCTGACTCGCGGCCGGCGTTCGCCTCGCGGTAATTGCCGTTGCATGAGAGGATTACGTAAGGAGGAGGAGGAGAGGGAACGATGTTCTTATATCTTCGCGGCCCGCACTGACCATATGTCTCCGATGAGATGATGAGCTGACGTGCTGCTGCGTGACCGGAGGTGAGATCCGTGAACGAGAAGTCTCACGGCAAAAGGATGGCCGAGAAGTTAAAGAAGAGGCAGAATATTAGAAAGAATGTGCTTTAGAAGAGATGTTTACCTAAACTGATAAAAACGGAAATTTGCAATTTTACCGTCCATTTACTATTACAATCAATATTTGTTACAAAAAGAAAATAATAAATAATGTCATTATGTGCCCTGAGATCTAACATTAAAGAGCTTAGCTTAGAAAATTCATGTCCCATAAGAAGTTTTGCTTTTCAAAAATTCAATTGTAACTTGTAAAAAAATAAGAAGAAAGTTAAATAGTTTGAATGCGTTTCTAAAATAAATGTATATCAGATTTTGGTAACGGTACTAAGCACTTCATTTCTACTCCTAATCGAAATTCTAAACTTCTTCGATTACAATCATGCATAAGATACATGTTTATACAGATTAGATGAAAAATGTATTTTCTTTAAGTTTGTTAATAAATATGGGGAAAACATAATTATTCAAGTAGATTTGTCAAAATATTTTTTAAATGAACACGAAATTGAAATGTGATTGTGAAACAAGAGATAAATTGCAGAATTATTTCTTCCTCCAAAGATTGTGACAATATAATCATGAAAGAAAATGATTTAACATTAATTATTCTGTAAATTTGACTAGTACACAGTAATCGAAGGTGAGAATTGAACACATTATTTCGAATACATTGTCTAATAAATATTCAAGAATTTAAAAACAAAACCCTGCAAATCTTTTTGATATTTTAAAATGATTGATTTTAAATATATATGAAAAGACGGAAAACGTGTAATGTTTTTTAATAATTTTAAGTTCGCGAACAAGTACATGACATTTAAGTGAATTCTTCTAAGAATTTTTAATAATTTACCGCTTCTTACAAAAATTGTTTAAAAAAAATTATATAAAGACATGGCGCTAAACATGATGGACGTCAATTAAAATTGGTATTGAATTAATAATTTTCAAATCGTAAACAACACAAAGCGGACGATGTTCCATAAACAACACAAAGAGTACGATATTCCAGGGGGAGAGGGAGGAATCAACAGCAATAATTGATTTCGTTTCCCACCTCAAATCGAAATCATTTTTAGTGGCTGCCGCCCGGCACCCCATCCGTCAGCGTTCGCTTTCGCGATTCCGAGGGCCGCCCGACGACGAAACGGAGGCTGACGAAGCCTGCACGCATCGTCGCTGGCCTCCGCCCGTCAGGCGTCGCGCGAGGTGCCAGCCCCCCTGAGTGATGGCGGAGAGCTGTGCGCGCACGGCTATATCCGGGCCCAGCGGCGCGGCGCGTCGCGGCGTGGCGCGGCGCAGCGGGACGGGGCGGGGCGGGGTGCTTGGCGATGGAGGCGGCTGCGGCTGGCGGGGAGAGACGGGTGCAGGTGGGTTGGTGCGGAGCGGGAGCGGGCGAGAGGATGGGGTAAGTGAGTAATTAGTGTTTCTCAGGGTTTCAACTACTTTGGTCATTAGTCCCGTGAGTGACGTGTGGTGAGTGTAGCGGTGTGTGTCCCTCGCTGTAACGAAAGATCTCGCACCGTCTTGTAGGTCGGTAGATCCCCAAACTACGTAAGGAGGGATTTTATTTTTTATTTTCAAGCCTTACTTAAATATTTTTATTTGTTTTTTCAATTGTTAGATTGAGCGGTATTTTTTATGGGAAACTTGCTTTGAATACAATGAGATCAATTTGGGGTATTTGATTAAAACGAGTAAAAAAATTGCCGAGGGGGAGTGAATGGCCTCCTTGAACTCCCAGAAGCCGTCACTGATGGGACTGGCAGCGGCAGTGGCCGCGACCATGGGGGCTCGGATGGCGGAGGGTTTGGCATTGGCAATGCTGGCGCTGGCGCAGGTGGCTAGGCCGGCGGAGGCAGTGGCGGTGGTGGTGTTGGCGGCGGAGGCAACGGCGGTGCACTGGTGGGGCAGCGGTGAGGTCACTGGGCGAAGGCGCCCGGCGCGGCGCATCCCAAGGACCGGTCTTGGCCCAGGCCCGGCCGCCCGCCTCGCTGCTGCCGGACCGCCGCGGCGCCAAGGTCGATCACAGTCGCAAATCAGCACGTGACCGCCAAAAAGGCTGCGAGAGGATCCTCGAGAAATTAACACGGCCAGAGTTATCTTTCAACTAGCGCTGAGGTAGACGCAAGCGTATCAAACCGGTAAATGTAAATTTCCGCCGCTTTGTAGTAGAAGAATCATTATAAATTGAATCCCATAGTTAACTTGAAAATTGACTCGATATAAGGAGTTGTTAATCGTGGTAGAAATGGATACGTGTATGTAATAAGACATTTTTGAATAATTGTATAAATTGGTCACTTCAGTTACAAATATTGCGATTATAAACGGAAACTACAAATCCCTTTATATGCAACAGTACACCTTTAAATTGTAGTAAAGAATTTTGTTTTTTGTTAAATCTCATTACTAACCGTATTGAAAAGAAAATGTAAAATATTTCTTACTTGCTATTCTGCATTGTATTTCTCTCTGCGATTTTTTCTTGATTTCACTTAAATCACATCATATGAGGTCTTGTAATTTTTGACGCTCCATTCTCTTCGGCTCGATATATTCACCAACACAGACCCAGAAGATGAATGTAGGTGTCTCGTTGACAAAATCTGTGAACTGATGAGATTCCATCCGATCGCTGATTGTCTACCACGGATCACCTGCTCTTCGTTCGATTATCTTTTGAAATCTGATAACTCGCAGAAAAAAAATTACGAGGTGGTATCCGCACGTTCAATTAACATTCGTCATGCTGACTACGTATTCTTGTTAGATGGTTTTGAATATATATCAGGATGTGTAATCGTTTTGAATTGCAAATCAAATTTAGGTCGATAAGTTAAAAACTTGATGTATTGCATTTCTTCTGGAAAGGATTATAGCTACATATCACGAAAGAAAAATCAGAGAGGGCGTTATAAAACAAATGTCGTCAGCAGATGGAAAGAAAAAAAAATAGAAGGGTCAGGGAGTAACAAATAACAGAGCATAACTGGAACATGAAAAGTATGTTTAAACGTAATCTGTATCTTAAACCTCCACAATGTAGTTAAATCCAAACGCATTTGCATCTCGAGGAAGTGCTTCTGCTGATTACATATTGAAAATAGATAAAACATTAATTAGATATAGAAAATTAACTCTCTTACATGAACTTCAGTTGGAAGGACGAATATTATATTCAAGCAAATAAATCCTTTTGAATTCAATTTCAGATCCTGAACGCGCTTATTATATAACCAAATTATATTTTTGGTTCCCGTTAACAGAAATCATACTTTGTATTTTTGTATTGGGTAGAAAGAGCGATTTTAAATTAATCTGTTATGACGACAATAGCCTTGACTCTTGTGTCAGGAACGACCGATACTTCTACAACTTAGGTCACAAAACACGGTTGACATTTCGTAGAAGATCCACAGCTGTCACACAGCAGCACTTTTAAATCAACACCTTGAGACTGCATCATATACTTGTGTAACTTCTGTAATGTTTACTTTATGAGGCTTCCTTCAGGTTGTAAGATGTATTGAATCCATTAAGCACCAAATGTTAAAATCAAGGGCGATGAAATTGCACTCTAAATATGAGAACTAATGTAAGATTATTGTAATTGTTTTAATTATACAGATGGCCCAATGTCTTTGTTTAATATTCTGCTAGAGAATTTTATTACTAACGATACTGACACTCAAACACAAAAACATTTGTTCTTTACAGATAGAAAGGTATCTCCAGGTCATCGTATATACACAAGTGGCCTAGCTTACATCACTAATGAATGATCTAATATATTTCATATCCTGAAAATTACCCATCCTTATCAGCATCTTAATCAATGGAAGGTATCAAGGGATCTAGAGGCGAGGAAGGACGCATACCACATTACGGACAAATCCAGCCAGGAGTGGGAGGGAACTGACATGGCGTCCGCGGAGGCGGGAGGAGCGGGAGGGGATGGGGATGGGCGGGGAGGGGCGTGGCGGGGAGATTAAGCTCCTGGGATGTTTTATGCTGCAATGTGCTACGCACACCTGTCCCTCACACCTGCTCTGCACCTCGGCCTCCGTCCGTTGCCAACAAAGGAGGCCGAAAATATCAAGACAAGCGTTCGACGTGACTTAAAGAGTTGTTTGTGGGAGTTACACACGTAACTGATTGTTCGGAAATCAATAAAAAACACTGTATATTGGACAAGGAAAAATTTTCGTTTTTATTTTAAATTAGCGAAAAATTCACAGAAATACGTATATGTATAATAAATAAAAGGAGACCAATATATAAAGTTTTCTTGCATGTAAGGCTGAAAGGCATCATACAAGTATTTTCTGTTTGTTTCACTATGTTGAGCGTTTATCAACAAATTTGCACATAACAAAATCAACAGTACAGGAAACATAATAAACTAATTCATAAAAAATGTACTTTCAACAAAATAAAGACTGGAAATAAAAATAAGAAATACATATATGAGCTTTCAGCTTAAAATACTCGAGCTAGCGTATACATTGTATGCAGGTTCAGTTTTATGCAAATTCTCTCCGATCACTTTTCTTTTTTAAATATATACATAAGTTGTTGGTTAAATGGTATTTTCTTATGTAGTCAAGGAAGGAAGAAGTGGATATTTTTTCTTTAAAAGTACGTATACGAATGATCTGCTTATGCTATTCTCAATATCCTCACCTTAACTGTTCAAAGAGCAGAACATACTGCTCCTTACTAATGCCACACTCAAAGATAAAGAGAAATTGCTTCTGTATTTTCGTCGTATAACTTTGACAGCGTCGACTCTCAACTGCGTGCACGCATAGTCGGTAAATATAGTCAAAAAGCCAGTAGCGCATTGCCGCTAACGTGAGTTTGAGAAGAAGTAACCTTCTTGAAGGTTGTACTCATCAATGTTTATGGCCTTAG